TCTCATAAAGATTTACAGCCTGCTCTAGATGAGTCAGAGCCACTGTGATGGTAGTAGTTTGGTTTTTATTTTGGTGTCAAGACAGACATATCCTAGAAAAGAAAAGACTAGAGAGCTTCGAGAGCCAAGCACACTGACTGCTGACTGATACCTGGTATATGAAAGAGTAGTACAGAAAAGATGAACTATAACTTCAATAAATGATGCTAGGACTGTAACATGGCTGTTCTGGACTAAACTGTGTCCCCCAAACATAGTCAAATCCTAAATGCTGGTACCCGAGGATGTAACCTTTAGAAACCAGATCTTCTGACTATTTGATCAGGTAACCAGAGGTAAGGTACAGTCAGCAGGTACTTAAGTTTGCTGGTGAAAAAAAAGAACAAGTGACAGCCTGGAAAAAAGAGTTAAAAAAACCTATTGCAGGGATTTTGTGCCTGATGTTTTTTGTTTGCTCGCTTTTCATTTTCAATCTAGAAATAGCAATGGAAAATTTCAGTGTAGAAAGGCCTATGTATGGTCATGGGTGGATTACTTTTCGTCTGTCTATCTATCTATCTATCTATCTATCTATCTATCTATCTATCATCTATCTATGTTTAAGAATAGAAGAGGCAAAGATGCGTTACCAGGAAATAACCCACTAAGTAGAAAGAAGCTCAGTAAATGCAGATTCAAATTCCTCAAATTCTAAAAAAGGGGGAAGGAAAAAAAATCTGAGTCCAGCATGCTTTCTGAAACTCAGCAGAACAGTGACTATTAACATAATAATTACATACTGTTGTTGTTATGTGCCATCGAGCCACTTGCGACTCATAGACAGAATTATATACTACATGAAAAAAAATTATTAAAACCTCAAACTCAGAATACAAGATTGGTCTACATTCTACTTGGTTTTGTTATGTGCCACTAAATTGCCTTGACTCATAATGACCCTACATACAGTAACTCTGAACTCTGCCCTATGCTTAGCCAGTCTGACTTCAACACATCTACTCTCATTACCCCCAGTTACTGTGTCAATCCATTTCATCCAGGGTCTTCCTCTTCTGCACTGTCCCTCCATCTTTGCAAGCATGATGTCCTTCCTCCAAGGACTGGTCCCTTCTAGTCACTTGCCCAAAGTATATGAGATGGAGCTTCAAAATAGTTGCCTTCAAAAAAGAACTTGGTTGCACCCTCTTTAATACAGACTTGTTTGTTTTCCTGGCGGTCCATGGTATACTCAAGACTCTTCTACAGCACCACAACTCAAAGGCATCGATTCTTTTATCATCCTTAATCACTGTCCAGCTCTCTGATGCACAGCAAATAACAGTGAAGACCACGGCCTGGATCAGGTGCACCTGAGACCCTAGATGAACACTGTTGTTCTTCAGTACACGAGAGAGTTCTCTGACAGCAGATTTCTCCAATGCAATTCAACTTTTGATTTCCTGACTTCTGGTGTCAAGAGTGATGATTGTAGAACCAAGCAAGCTGAAACTGGTAAACAATTGCAAAAACCTCAATCTCTTAAACATCTATCATGGTGCTGCCAACCAGCTTAGTGGTGAGAATCTTTGTTTTCTTGACATTGAGCTTCAGTCCATATTGAAAATTATAGTCCTTGACCTTCTGCAGCAAATGCTTCAGATCCTCCTCAGTTTTGGCAAGCAAGGTTGTGTCACCTGCATAACACAGGTTGTTGAAGAGTCTTCCTCCAATCCTGATGCCATACTCATCTTCATAAAGTCTGGCCTCCAGCATGTTCTGTTCCACATTCAGATTGAAACGGTATGGAGACAGGATGCATCTCTGATGCATTCCTTTTTCAGCCTTTTCTGGTTTTGAACCATGCTATGTTTCCTTGCTCTGTTCTAACTACTGCTTCCTGGTCCATATATAGGATTCACATGAGCACAATCAACTGTTCTGGAATTCCCAAGCTTCTCAAGATTAGCCACAATATGTTGTGATCTATTCAGTTAAATGCCCTTGCAAAGACAATGAAACATAGGTAGACATTCCTCTGGTACTCTTTGCTTTCTGCCAAAATCCATCTGACATTAGCGATAAGGTCTCTAGTGCCATGACTATAGAAAATGAACAATAAAATATCTTTATATATTATTTTGTTTATTGTAGAAGCAACCACGCAGGAGAGAAGAGTTCCACAGATAAGGTTTAATCAAAATAAATTACTGAAAGAATTATAGTTGTGAAAAGCTGGGACACATCTAAAAAGAAGAAAATGGTGCCCAGTGAAAGGCCATCTGGTGTCTGGAAGCATGTAAGCCTTGCTATTGCTGTTAGATGCTGTCAGGTACAACTCATAGGAACCCTAAAAACAAACAGATCTGAACCTTGTCCTATCCTGTGCCATTCTCATCATCTCTGACACACTTGAGCCCACTGCTATAGTCACTCTGTCAATTTATCTTGTTAGAGGGTCTTCCTCTCTTTGGTTGATGTGAGTCTATGTGGTAGTAAAAAAGAAATGCACAGACACTTTACCTAGTGTGGGTTGGCAAGCTCTCAGAATAAGAGAAGGAGCAATAATACTTAAACTACTGGCATGGAGGGTAAGAATGACATGATAATCGTGTGGTATGGTGGCTTATCATCATGTTTGGTACTTGGTGATCAAGTAAGTGTGAGGATCCCTTACTTCTAAGCAAGAAATGAAGTTTGAAAAATTTTACACAATGGTCTATGATGTATAACAATGACTGCTCTATATAACCATCTGCTATAGACTAAGGAAACAAAATTACAAAGAATATTTCAGCACAAAGGCTATTATTACCGTTAGGTGCTGCTGAGTCAAATAGGATTTACAGCGACTCCATGAACAAAAGATCTGAGACCTGCTCTGTGCCATCCTCACACTTTCTGACACATGAAGAGTCCACTGAGGTAGTCACCACATCAATGCACTTGGTCAATGGTCTTCTTCTCCTTCACCAACCTTCACCCTTCCCAGCATCACGTTCCTCTCCAAGGAACAGCCCCTTCTAGCAACATGCCCAAAGTATGTGTGTTATCATTCTTGCCTCCAAAGAGCACTCTGGCTTCACCCTCTCCAAGACATATCTGTTTGTTCTCATAGCCATTCATGGGATGTTCAGTGTCTTCTCCAACACCATAGCTCAAAAGTGTCAGTTCTTTCTCTATCATCATTCATTGTCCAGCTCTCAGATTCACAGCAAGTAATCGGAAAGAATATGGCCTGAATCAGACACAGCTTAGTCCTCAAACTGACAGCTTTACTCCTCAATAATTCAGAAGTCCCTAATTGCAGATTTTCCCAGTGCAATGTGTTTTTTTATTTCCTGATTGCTGGTACTAAGAGTATTAATTGTGGATCCAAGTAAGATGAAATTGTTGACAGTTTCAATCTCCTCTCTGTTCTTCCCAGGGTATAATTGGGATATATTAGGAAAATAATAAGCCAGAGAAGCCAAAATAAAAGAAACTTCCTGGTCTTTGAAGTAAAGAGGTCTAAGATGATGATTACGGTGACGACTCATGGCATAACTTACAAAAGGAAATGGTTGTATAAATCAAAGTATTTTGGCGTTTTCAAGCTTAATCAGATTCCAGAGTGACCAGATTTATGCCACAAGAACCAAAGATAATAAAGTGATGTTTGCCAAGATTTAATACAATAGCAACATGTAAGAATAAAAAGTAAGCAACTCTAATTATAAAAAATTATAGAAGTTGAAGGATAAGTTTATCTTTAAATAGTTTCTGGTTTCTGAAAGTTTAAAAACTGACATGGACTAATCTATGCTAAAACTGCAATCAGTGAAACTTTTCCATAGCAATGGGATATCATGAAATTATTTCATTTTCATCGTTCCCTTCCAGTTCTCCATGGAACGCGTAATGTAACACTATTGTTATATATCACTATTGTTATATATTATCAAGTTGGAAATGATGTGTAGCTGACCTTCCCAGTGGGTTCTGAGAGACTGTAAACCACACAGGAAACTGCCCTGCTCACCTTTCTTCCACACAGCAGCCAGTGGATTCAAACTGTGTGCCTTTTGGATGACAGTGTAATTCCTTACCACTAAGCCACCAGAGCTCCAAGCATAATGTAGTAAAAATACAGTAATTTGAATATATGTTATATTTCATATATATGCCTTTCAAGATTACAGTCATCAGCTTTGGGGATTTTTCAACAGCCTATGCACGTCTTCTCTCAGAAAGATCCCACACACACACAGTACTGAGTATCAGAAATCCACATCTGTTCTACATAAGTTATGACCAGAGCTAGTAAAAGCATAGAAATTTTTACATTAAATATGCAGGTATCACGAGCCATGTTGTTGTTATGTTGGTATTGTTATGTGCCGTCGAGTCACCTGCGACCCTATGTACAACAGCCCTAAACTCTGCTCTATCCTGTGCCAAT